AGAGCAAAAAAATGTAGGTACCAATTTTCTGTGCTCCTGTTCCTGTGCAGAAAATTGTGTGAAATTGATTGATCGGACTTTGTGATGAGTCCAAGCAGCTACATCATCTTTTGACTGTTGTTCTGTGTGCAAAAAATGTTTTTGTTACTTTGTGGACTTTTTATTATAAGTCATTTATTTTGACTTAATTCATTTCCTCTTCAGAAATCAACGATGAATGGCCAGAATGTTGTTGGCCTTTATATTTTTCTGTCTTCTGTGAATTTCTAAAACAAAACTGTGTTATTGTCAACTGCATCCTCCACTTAAACTTGACATGTGTTGCAGCTGCTGCAGTATATGTACTATTATATGATGGTACTATCTTTATTAAGCTTTAATAGATAATAATGTCTGATGTACTTGTTAGCCACTTTCAGTTTTCAAATGTTTAAAACGTGAGTTACTCTGACAAACTCAATGTCTGTACCTGTTTCACTGCTCTTTAGTTTACTGATAAAAATTTTTAGTCATTGAAATTTCATGCATGGCATAAGTCATCTGGTTTGAAGCGTGTATATATAAAACAGGCAAATTTTTGTTCACGTTCTATTATACATTGCAGGAAATCTCATGCCTGTGAATGTGTTTCTGAGAATGTTTTCAGATCCACTTATTATATGTAATTACTTTCAGATTGTATGTAATTCTGATCACTGATAATCACTGTAATATTATGATATTATTACTGCTGTTGCATATTATGATGCTATTACTGCTTGTGAGATAATTATAATAATTTCAAAAACAGTAATAGTATTACACCACTCTGAAAATAGAGTGATAGGGGAGCTGATTGCCATAGTCTTGAATTTAGATTTGCATTAGAGAAAACATGGATATTTTTTAAAGTATAGGGTCATTATGGCATGTGGATGCTTAAAATACTGTTGAGCCAAAAGTCCTACTTTCAGACAAGCAGGATAAAGATATCACAAGGATAAAGATATCACAAGGATAAAGATAGACAAGCAGGATATATATTAGAATACAACAACAATGATAGTATTCTAATGACTTGGTATGTGTTATAATAGAATGGTGTATTACTGTAATGGTGATAATAACTCTTCTGTACCATATAAAATTATATTACAGAAGTATTAGGTTGTTTTTCATTTAGCCAAATAGAATGCAGAATTCTTTCATAGGAAATGGAAGAAATTTTAAAGTACAGTCAGACCTTGTATGTTATGTCATTTATGTAATGCAGTTTTGCTTCAAGATCATTTGAAAATACTGAAAATTATCTTTTAATACAGCTTTATTCCATCATTCTAACACAGCTGGAAACTAAGGGAATAGGTATTATGGCATGACTAGTGATATTTGTAACAGAATTACTGATGACTACATGTGACAGAACTACTGATATTTCTATATCACAACATATTTAAATGGAGTATAATTAGGACAAATCATTGCCAGAATAAAACTAAAAAGACCAAAAGAAGGCATCATTAACAAGACCTCCACTTGGATGTAAAAATTCTTTACCTCTAGAGCAAACTCCATTGACAAGGGAAAATGGAATGGGAAACACATGTAAATAAATTCTGAAGAGTAATTACAGTCCATGTTACCAGTGAAATCACATTGCCTTTTGAGCATTAAGGTAAATCCCTTTTTAGCATTATATTCTTTCAACAAGTTTTAAGAATTAGGAAATGTTTGTACAATAAAGAACATGATGTAAAAACAAGTCGTATCTGAATCCATACTTTTCATTCAACCAGGTATGTCATGCCAAAATTCATGTGCACAGATTGACTAAAGGAAAATGTTGAAGGTACATAATTTTTTATTGTACCATTTTAAAATCTATTTGTAAGAAATGTAAAAGATCTTAAAAATCTTTATTGGGAATTAATTTGTAATCCTAAATAGTGGCAATATTTGAATTGTATTAATCTTATAACTTCATCCATCGAAGAAATAAGACCATTGGCATTGAATATTTGCTGGAAAAAATTATGGTTAGAACCAGTTCAGGATATACATGTAGTCAAGCATATAGAAAACAAAATGGATATAATAGAACTTGTTAAGTGTATAGGAGGAGAAGGATTTGATGCTATGAATGGAAGAATAGAGTGATGAAGTAAATTAAACTGAATTAAATTCAAAAGGTGCTAGTATAAATTCAAATGATAAAGCTAATTTTTATTTTAAAAATGCTTTTAAGAAAAGGCTAAACTAGACGAATAACTGGAGTTATATTTTCTAATTAAAGAACCTGCTCTGAAAGAAGCATAAAATTTGAAAGAGAATTCACAGATGCTTAACTCTATAACAAAATTTATGAAGATCTCAGCCTAAAGTAAATAACTCAGAATAATAGTATATATGCAGAAATTAAAGCATAGAACTCAAGATGTTCTGAAGGAAGCTCAGAAGACCAGGATATTTCTTCATAATGCGAACGACCTCATTTAATAGCAGCTAGTTGTGATGGTGAAGAAAGTACCATGCATTATTAGTATTTCATACTTTTAATTAAATTAATGATACTTTTAATTAAATTTTAATAAACATATTTTTCTTAGTTGTAAATTAAATTTTCCTGTACATTTGAAACTTTTAAAACCCTGCTTTTTATACTAATTCTTTGGTTCATATGTTACAAATTTGCTGATGCAGCACTTTTTGAGAACCAATGACTGTTAAATGGTTGTTACCTGAATATATACATAGATAGATCATAGATAGGTGGACCAATAAAGGTTAATACTAAGTTAATATTGTATCCAAGTCTTGCTTGATGAATGGAACATTTTAGAGCCAAAATGATAAGCCATCATTCAATGGAAGTCTGTAATAAAGGATAGGAAGATAATACTGGAGAATCAAAATTTGGTGGTGGAATTTGATTTGATTCTGTTGCTCGTACCATGTGGGAGGAATTAGTTTCCAAATAATTAGTGTAATTATATAGTTTTAAGATGAAAATAATTATATAGTTTTATGAAAAGCTTTGGAAGTCAGTTTATGTATATACATACTATTGCAAAACAGGTTGTGGTCTTAATTATATGAAGGTTCTTCATGAATTAAAACTGGCCCAAACGGCATGAAAAATGTATGCTTTGCAAAATCTTTTTAAGATAAGTATCTACAGCACAGGACAATATTGATTTATGGCTCCTTAAAGAATGTGACTATCAGATATTCTGAATCTTGACATTTATTTATTTAAATTCTCAGAAATACTTGTCACTTTCTGAACGGGTCATCATGAGATGTTCTATTATATTTAATTTAATATATTACCATTTGTGATATGCTCATTGTAATCTCATTGTATGAGTGAAATAACAATGTCCTGCCTCTGATACAAGTATTTAAGATACATTACAGGTCTTTTCCTAATATCATGTGTAGCCATTATACAGGGGGGCAGCACACAGAACTCTCGAATTTGGGAGGAGCATAGCCTTGACCGGGATTACAGTGATGGAGAGATATCCTTGAATAGCGACTTATGTGTCATTTCATAGTAGACCATAGAGAACATTGCAAGCATCAAGGTCATTGCAGATATCAAGGTATTGGTCAGGAGAACATTGCAATTTTCATTATAGAGCATTTATTCATTATAGCCAGTTTATCGGTAGCAATGCAGCATGCCTTATGCATCCACTTCATGCTCGATGGATGGCTCTCTATTTCCTGACAAAAAAAAAAAAAAAAAAAAAAAAAAAAACGTTTACTGTTGTGTGTCCAACTTTAAAAGCTCTGAAAGAGCTGATACAACAAGAAGTTGTTGCTTGAAATGTTACATTCTGGACATCTACTGGGAAATCCTTAATCGGTGCATAAACTATGGAGATCGCCACTTAAGTGATGTGTGAAGATGAAATAAAAACACATTGATGTAAAATGGCATTATGTGTACTTTCAGAGTAAAAATGAAAATTTTCATATCCTATTTGGTTTGGATTATATTAGCTTCCCACGTTGTTGTGTTCTTTCTGCTATACCTTGTATCTGCTGTATTGGTGTTAAAATATTGTCTTTTAGTTCTATTTTAGTTGTGTAATAACAATAAAAGATACATTGAGACAATAACATTGGGAGTTGAAAAGTACACACATATTTGTAAGTTGAAGTACATAAATATATTTCTTACAAAAGAATGCCATTTGAAGTCTCTTTATGCTAGATATTGTTTATTTAGTGTTGGAAATGTGAGGTTTATTATAGCTTGCTGTGATTTTCCCATTGTTAAGTTACAGTCTTTTGAAATACGACCCTTCATCAATAATTACAAAAGTAATGTTTGTGAACTGTTTAGTTAAAGCAGTAGCAATAGCACCAGCTCTCTTTCTCATTTCAAAACACTGATGCCAATTTTCAAATTTTATTCAGCCCTAAAAATTATAAACAACAGAACTGCAGCTTTCTCATATGCTGATAAAAGTAAAGATTTTTTTGGATGTTTTGCAGTCAAAATCAAATGATATAATGTTTATAGAATTTTGCTGTCAGTTAACATCAGTGTAAATTTAGAGATAAAAACCATGTTATGTTATTATTACGTAGTAAAAGTTTAACAGGTTGCCTCAGAGTGAAACAGTTTCATAATTTTGTTCATTGTGACTTTCTTTCCTATATGTTCTTATAGCTTTGTGATGATAGGTGCAATTTTCATGAAATGTAATGTCATTCTTTATTGGGTAAACTACACTTGTTTTAATGTCACACTTTTTTTGATAGATTGGAAGTTGAAAAGTACTGATTTAAAACAAATAACTGTATATTATTTTAATATATGTTAATTAGCTTCTTTAAAATAGTTTGTCATCTGAAAATTTTTATGCTTCAGTTGATTCATATTTGAATTTAGTAGTTGATTCATAACTGTCTCAGTAAAGTTAAAAATTATTTAACATCCTTTATAATTGCTTATATTTTTTACTATTGCATAGCTATTATTTATGTTAGTAATTTTGTTATTTTAGTTATCAAAATGAGCCATACTTTCAAGCCATCTCCTGTTCATGGAGCAGGTGCTACACTCTTCATGAATGAACACTGCAGTGATATAACTATAATTATAACTGAAGATTGCACTGTGTGGCGTTTTCCAGCACACAGTACAGTTCTTTCAGCTCAGAGCATTGTCTTCCATCGTATGTTGGACAGTGACTTTATTGAAAAAAAGAGTCAAGAAATAGTACTCCAAGATATGACACCTGCAACTTTAAAAAAATTATTAAGGTGAGCATATCTTGTTTTTCTGAACCAGTCAATTGTATTTTGTGAAACATTTGACACTTTTAACAAAATACAGGAGATCTCCTGTATTGTTTGTTCAACAGAATTAATTATTCTGCTGTACAAACAGTACAGGAGAATTAAAATTTTTAACACATGTCTTGTAGAGTTTAATGAAACAATATTCAAAATAAAGTAATGAAGCAGATAACAAATTCATTAGTATTTGAAAATATAATTAAAATGAAAGATTCTGTGTTGAGCCGAATTGGAGAAATGGAAAATGTATACTTTTTATTATTCTAGGTCAGTGTTTCCTAAACACTTTTTACCGCGGCGCGGTATGAAATTAAAAATTTTTTCACGACCCACCTTATGAAAAAAACCCATTTATTTACAAAACAAATTTTATTTTGTAATAAAAATCAAAATTCAAGTTATTTGTTTGTAGTTTGAATGGGTATACATACTGAAAAAGTGAAAAAAAATCAAAATTTAGTCCTTAATTAATGAAATTAAATTAATGAAATTTAAGTCCTTATTGTTTCATTATGTACACTTTTAGGAAAAATACTGTAATGATACAATTTTTTTTCCATTTCATTTGAATTTTGGACTGTAGAAATTACTGGCCATTGCTACTATTCTTTAATTAAATCATCATTCACAGTTCTGTAGATCATTCAATACCTTCATTCACACACACTCATAACAGAAAATAATGACCATGTACTGTGTTTATATTTAAATTTATTATTGTTTTGTCTTATTATAATTGCACCTATAATTTTAAACAGTATCTAAGCATAAAAGGTACTTAATAATATAATATATTTTAATACTAGAAAAAGATATATATATATATTTGTATAGACTCTGTCTTATGAAGACAGCAGAGAAAGGATGCTAATTAATTTTTCAAAAGTGAATTAACGAACTACAAATGTGGAATTAAATGAGTGTGGTGATGATGCTTAAAGGGTCTTATCTAATGATGGCTATCTGATAGTGAAGATAATGTCTACTTAAATAAGTACAGACTTACAAAGTGGTTAAAAAAAAAGTTATATTATTTTTAAAAGTAATAAAAAAGAATGATGTAAAAAATAATTGGAATCTAAATCTGTATCTCACAACAGTCTAACCCGAGAACACATACAAGGCTAGAATGACCTTTTCACAGCTTTTTGCTCTGTTTTACAAGTTATTTGTATGCATCAAATTATCCGTGGATGTTCGATTCACCAATTCGTCGCATATTTGCCGATCTGCCATGTCCAGTATATTTAATTAACAATTTTTTAATGCCATGAAGCTGTAGTTGATTTTAAGTCAGTGTTTCTAAACGCTTTTTACCACGGCCCGGTATGAAATTTAAAATTTTTTCGCGACCCACCTTATAAAAAAAAACATTTATTTACAAAAAAATTTTATTTTGTAATAAAAATCAAAATTCAAGTTATTTGTTTGTTTATTTCATACACAAAAGTTGTAAAATAATTATATAACAAAAGCATAAGTAATTAAAGACAATCCATTATTTTCATTTAAAACCGTAAAAAAAAAAATAAAGTAATGAAGCAGATAACAAATTCATTAGTATTTGAAAATATAATTAAAATGAAAGATTCTGTGTTGAGCAGAATTGGAGAAATGGAAAATGTATACTTTTTATTATTCTAGGTCAGTGTTTCCTAAACACTTTTTAGTAAAAAAGTAAATTTTGTTTAAAATAAAGTAAATAAAGTAAATTTTGTTTTACATATTTTGACCTTAGTGCGAAGGATGATGTTGTTTTTCATCACATAGTAATTTCAAATTAGGACTTAATGATGTTAATTTTATTTTCAAATTAGGTTCGACATCCAGTCTGTTTCGATACTTATTTTTTAAGTACACCAAGGCTGAGAACGTAGTTTCACACGTATAAGTGTTGACAAAAGGCATTAAAAATTGTATCGCTTTTTTGCTTACACTTGGATATTTCTTTTGACAGTGCCTTTTGACTTTTTTAAGATCAGTGTCACATGAAATTTCAATTAAATCATCAACTTCTTGTTCACTAAGATTAAGCATTTCCTTCTTTTCAATATCGACAGAAAAGGATCTTTAATCCACATATTATTTGAAGGAATATCCGGAAATTAGTCTTTAAAACTATTTATTAGCTTCGAAAGATGTTCTTGAATTGAAAATGACAGTGTTTCAAGATATAAATCTTCTTCATCGTAGTTTGAATGGGTTTCAATAAATAAATTTATGAATGTTTCAAGAGATTTAAAATTTCCTTTTGAAAGTTATTGTTTCCACAGAGTCTATTTTTTTAATTATTACAGCAACTTTTTCCGATACTTTGAAAATATTTAAACCAAAGCCTTGTAAATTTAAATTCAATTCATTGAATGTAGCAAATATGCCGCATAAATAAGATACTTTTATTAACCACTCGAAATCGTGGAATCTATCCTTAAATGGAAAAATAGCATCTTTTTTACATGGTGGGTGTTCATTCAGAAATACCAAGGTTTCGTCTTTTAGCTCAAACAGACATTTTACGTTTTCTTTTGAAAGCCATTGTGAATTACAATACAAAAGGTGGTGTTTATGATCACTCCCCATTTCCTTGCATAATTCGATAAAAAGTCTGCTATTTAATGGGCGAGACTTAGTAGTAGTTTACAAGCTTGACACATACTTCCAAAGTCGTGTTTAAATTTAAAGGCATTCGTTTTACTGCCAACGCTTGTTTATGGATACTACAGTGCTTAATTGCTAATTCTTGAATTTGTTTAAACAAGCCTTTATGACAGCCTGTCATTGCAAGCCCAACACATTTCATCCAATAAATACCGTGACTAGTGGCAAAATCATCGGTAACCTTAAAAATTTTATCTGAGGTCGTTCTTGTCGGTAGCCTTTTACAAAACAAAAAATTTTCTTGTATGGTGTCTTCGTCAATATATCTGATAAAACACATTAGATTTGCATTATTCTCTATATCTGTGCTTTTATCTGTTTGCAAGGGGAAAACACTTGCTCTGTTTTACTTGAGCAACTAGTTCTTCTTCTAAATGTTTCGCACAATCATCAATTCTCAGTTTAACTGTATTATTTGATAATGGTATCGCTGAAAATAAAAAATTTTCCTTTATTCCGCATAAATTATTTGCGACAATTTTCAAAGCGGGAAGTATTATTTTTTCTCCAGCATTATGAGGATACCCAATTTCAGCTATTAATTTTGAAATTTCAAAAGATGTCAAAGTGAGGTTTTTATTTGACTGGTGAGGTAAGAGTGTATTTTTTATTTCTTTTTAGCCGCAATCAATTCATTTTTCTTATCAGTAAAAAAATTAATTGGCTTATCAGAGTACCCAGAATGGTGTATGTTTAAATACCATTTCAACTTTGACGGTTTCATGCTTTCATTTGAAAGTTGCTCATTGCAAATAACACATAGCGGCAAATTATTTTGACTGCTGGCCGGCAATGAACCCAAAGTGTCCAAGTAGCTTTATGCTTAATTCAGAAGACAAACAACAAAAATCAGCGTTATACAGTCAAAATTCTTTAATCCGGACTTGTCGGGACTTCGGCGATTCCGGATTATCGGTTTTTCCAGATTATAGATTATCAGTTTAAATCTGGTAAGATGGCATGCAGAAATTATAAAATTAAAAATATGAGACCGTAATTTATGAAATAAAGAGCAATTATGATCTAAAGCTTATCAAAATTTACATAAAAAAAAAAAAACTTAATATTTATTTACTTTATTAAACATTTCTTCCAACACACGCATGCATAAAGCATACATTACGCATAGTCTAAATTAGAAAATTGCAACCAGAAAACTATTTGATGTGTATTTGTAATATTTATAAAGACGAGAAATTTTATTTAAATCATATCAAAGACGGAGTACATCGAGATGAAATACTACATTTAGTAAGAAATTATAAGCCGAATAAAATAAAAGCATTTGCCCTGAAGATAAAGATAGTGCTGACAAATCAATTTCCAGTTCATTGCGCCGCGACGTCCCCCCCTGCCCCCGCAGAGCAGCGTGAAATTGATAAACAGATTTCGGAATGGTTAGATAAGCAAAGGATATGCCTTTATCCATTTTTTGCAGCAATCCCACTTTTTGTTTGATGGACATCGAAACATGCTTTCGCTTTGTAGATCCTTTATCCAGAATCACAAATTCTTTTTGACTTAATCGAAAATTCAATCTTACTTTTATAAAATTGCTCTAAACAGTCTGCAAAAAATAATAAGCCAGATTCAATTAGAAGATTAAGGAACAACGCAATCTTCAACATTAACTGAAATAGATAATTAGATAATTTTAGCTTGGCTTATCCGTTATACATTAAATGCGCATGCGTAAAGGTATTATGCACATTTCTGTGCATGCGTAACCGCATTATGCGTTTACGCATGCGCAGAAAGTTTGTAGCTTTGAGGTCTGGATTATAGATCATTCTGGATTATGGACGTCCAGATTAAAGACTTTTGACTGTATTTTCAAAATTTTCTGAATGCGACAGTAAACCTTACTGAATGTGGTGGTTATGTCATTAATACATAGTGCACATTCCACAAAGTTGACTATCTATGGAAAAATGGGTTAGGTATAATTCAGATTAAAAAAATATGTATAATTAATACAATCCTAAATATTGTGATTAAAAGGAAAAAATGAAGCAAATTTTAGTTTCAATTATTTCTATTACTGCTTAAGAAATAACTCACACAGCTAATTAAATATTTCACGGTAAGGAGTCCAAAGCTTTTCAATACCTTTCATAAAGTGTTCTCTTATTTGTTCATTAATATCAATCTGCTATATGAAATATATGCTATATGACAGCTGCTAACCTTTTTTAACAGTTTAAAGGCTTCTTTCTCTCTGTTCTTTCAACATGGGCTGGTGTTATAGAACACCCTATTCTTCATTTCATGATTATCATTCTTGACTAATTGATTTCTTAATCTTCCATTTCTGAAAATCCTTCATCCTCTATTGCTTTTACAATTTATATGATTTCTTTGGCTCCATTTTCAATCAATGGAAATCCTTTAAAATTGTTGACAACTTTTGGTCAAAGCTAATGCTAACAAGCATTCATTGTTAATGAAATCACTTGTTTCCATGTCAGTTTAATCATTTCTATGCAGTGTCTTATGTTGAATTGCTTCTAAAATGCCATTAATATGTCATCCTTTCCTTCCTCTAGTACTTTATTTGCAGAAATGTAAACATGTACGATATGATAGGCTTTGTATGTTTTTATGATTTCTTGATCCATTGGCTGCATTAAGGAATGGCGTTTGGTGGAAGGAATAAAACCCCTACATTTGGATGCAGTATTAGGAGAACTTTAACATTGTTTAACATTGTATCTGAGAACATTATCAGGAATTAGGATAATTTTAAAGCTCAGGTTTTGTTGTTCTAAAGGATTTTTAACTTCTCTGATGAATGAAGTTTCAAACCAGTCTTTAAAGATGGCTATCACAATGCAGCCAGTGCTCTGCAGTCTACTGCATATAATATGAAGCCTCAGAATAGACAAATTAAACAGAGATAATTAAGATGTATATGCAAAATCGCTTTCCACATTCAGTAAGAGTTTACTGTATAGAAATTTTTTATATAAAGATATTCTTGATGAAATGAATTCATTTTTACTGATTGAACTTAGAACTTTTCGTTTTCATTTTCATGAAAAAAATATACATATCAGCAAGTTTTATTTGGTAAATGTGAGCATGATAGATTTAGAAATGTAAAATAATGTATGCATGTGAAAGATGTGCCTCCATATCAGTAGATTTGGCTGATCCATTGTTTTAGTTATTAATCTTAAAATAACAGAGGGGAGAGAGGTCCATAGGTCATAAATCTCAAAATGCCTGCAGACTATAATGTAGTGGAATGAAGTAGATTAAACATGCCACTTCAGTTCTTTTAATTTATTAATTTTTATTTTTATTTGCTTGCATACTTTTTTATGTCTGCTGTAGCTAAATATTAGAAATGGCCATGCTGGAACCTTATATGGAGAGCCTTCAGACTCTTGCCATCAGACTTGCTTTAGGAGAGCCTTCAGACTCTTGCCATCCACACTGATCCGATAACTGTAAATGTGCTGGTAGAGAAGTTTTAGCTGTCAGTGTATAGTTATTTAACTTTATTTTCATATTCATATTTCTTCATTCTAATTTCGCCTCCATTTTGTGTTATCATTAGTTTCATTTTATTGCATCTTTTTGCTTTCATAATTTTTATTTAATGCAGAAAGAACTGCAAAGTGTACAATTAGTAATGCTACTAGTTCTTGGTTTACAGTTGATCTTGGGTCACATTGGAATTACTGGTAATGAATGAGCTGATAAACTGGATGAAAAAGAAACTGAAATTTGACAATAAAATAATAGTGTGATACCATTTACATCAATAAAAAGAATAAAATACCCCGAGGAAAAATTTTGAAGCTAAATTACTTGAAGAAATTAAGAGTAAGAAGTGGAGGGATTTGATTTGTAATATCCCAGACTCTCCCAGATCTCATTTCATTTGAAGACTAGGCATGACTGTCTCACTAAACATCTGCACCACACTAGTATACATGACAGTCCCTTGGGTACTTTGTGCAAGCGGAATTTTGCGATAACAGAGACCATTAGCTAAGACGTTCTTTGTTGAAGGGAGAAAGCCTATGCAGTCAATATTGGTGGCCTAAAGAGTTGATGCAGTTGACATCCAGAGAATAATTTATTATTATTATTTTTAATGCTTAATGTAGTCATTTGTTCTCATTTTCAAGTTTTGATGTAATTATTGTTATTGTAATGAGGTTTATTACTGTTTTGTCTTTTTGTATTTATTTATTTATTTATTTTTTGTGCTCCGATCTCCTGCATCTTTGATGCATGGGGGACAGTGATGTGTAATCAAGTGCTTTTAATTAAATTAAATTAATATAATGGATATGGAAGTACTACTGTGTTGATTTTTAGTCAGCTTTTGTATCTTCTTATTAAATTAAATAATGTTTGTTTTCAGTGTATATCATTGTGTTTCCAAAGTTGTAGGACTAAGCTCACACAACACAAAACTTATAATTGAAGAAATTAATATTCAAAATTTTTAGAATTCACTGTACAATCTTTGCAATATATAATGTTTGGCATATTTATAGTGGCTTGATTTTTCATCGAATTTATATTTTGGGATAATTTGGCTATCTCAGTTTTTGGAATCTCTTCAATGCTTTGAAAATAATGACCATATGAGGTGAGTCTTTAAGAAACCCACTTAAGAAAAAGAGAGAAGAGAAAGTAATCTGCCGGTGCCAAATATGATGAACAAGAGAGTCTTATTAAGAATTGTTTCTCTTTTGCTTGCTAGAAATTGCCTATGAAATCAAAATTGTGTGATGGCACATTGTTGTAAAATGGAAACCAATTATTCATTTGAGCTTTTTCAGGCGTTACATGCCAAAGACTATTCACTGTGTTCTCATAAAATATTTAGCTAGCTTCTGTCTTCCAGGATCAAATTCCTAGTGAATTATCCTTTTCCAAATAAATATGGTCACCTATATGATCTTTACTTGAGCTTTCTGTGACCATGAATCTTCTCCAACCTAAATAAATGACTGCTGGTCTCAAGATCATAATCTAAGCAACAAGTTTAATCTAGAGTCACATTTTGTTGGGAACTATTAGTTAATATCTGCCATTTGTATTAAATCAGGACATGCAGAAATTTTATATTATTCCTGTTCTGCACTCTGTGTGTGGGACAATGCAACAATCTTGAAAAATACTTTTTTTTTTTTTGTCTTTTTCAAGATCTTTCATGACAGTTTGGGAACAGTGTCTTTACTAGTATTAAGCTCATCAAATATCATTTGAAGAGACATATGATGATTTTTCAACAGCAGTTGTCAAGTTTTTTCAGTGTTCATATTAGTTCAAAATTGTGAACTTCATTATAGAGGTTAGTGATTCTGACGGCCATACTGATGGGCCCAGGTTTGTAATCCCGAAGAAGGCATGGATGTTTCTAAGCATATAGTACCTGTGCAACAAGGAGGCACTCAAAATACCTGGTGAGCTGAGTGGTTAGTAGTAGGTTGAGAGGAATGGGAAACCCTGAATCCCCAAGGATGTTATTCCTGAAAATTGTTGCAGAGCTGCATAGTTAGTGCAGTGAGAGTATACCTGTATGACCTATTGTGATGTTCTGGTGTCTCACTCATACCTGTTTGTGTCATTAACTACTGTAAAACACTTCCAGGTAACCTGTTCACCAAATGAAGAAGCTTTATGGATAATTTTGGCAGAACCACAATCAAAATTCAGATTGAGTATCCAACTGTGAATAGCAACTGAAGATTTTTTATTTTTTCTTTTCAAACTTACTGCCCTTTGATGTGAAGTTCTAAGGCTGTTTTAGTTCGACTAATATTTGTCAAGCCACATTTGCAAAATATATCAATTTACCAGGAGTTAAAAATCAGAAATGGATCTTTAACAATCAGACAACCAATTTTTATTAGTTAATAACAGTTGCACATAATTTGTTATTAGTTAAAAACTTTATTTATGTCATTTTTAAGATGGAAAAAGATTTTTATGCTCATTTTGTTGATTTTGCAGATATATGTATCTGGGTGATGCAATTTTAGAAGACTGGAAAGAAGCAATAGATCTGTTGAAAGCTGCACACAAATATCAGATGGAATCTCTAGTGCAGAAATGTGCTCATTATCTTCAAGACCATATTGATCTCACAAATGTCTGTTATATTTACAGTAAAGCTGTGACTTACACACTTAGCCCTTTAGGTATCGTAAGTTATGTTATTTGTCGTATATATGAATATTGTTATGGATATTGTACTAGATATTTCATCAGCCATAAATTTTCTTTTACATAAGTAGTGAATAATATTTCTCAGTAGTATATAATAAAGTAGGTTTTGTGATAGAAATTGATTTCATAATCATCCAAGTACCTTAATATCTGAAATTGCTTGCATTTAGAACTGAAGCATGTATTTATGTTTATTATTATTATGTTCTTGTGACTTATCTCACTTGTCTGACAGTAACAGCAGAACAAGCCCACGAAATTCATCGTGGCAAAGCATACAAGATTTGTGCCTGTCATTGGCAAGAGCTTTTATTATTTTTATTATTTGGTTTTATTACATCTCCAAATTTTCTCTACATCATATTAAGAATTTGTCAAATGTTTTTAATTAATTATTGCAGAGAATATTTTCTAAAGATTCTGAAATGTTTATCTATTATGGTTTAATTGCTTAACCCATCAACGAGCCCGCCTCTCGGAACAAAATGCTTCGAAAACGGTCGCGTTGTCAGACAACAAACCCCTCCAAAAAAAATCGCTTTCGTTTTCTGAAATCTCTCTAAGATGGCCCAGCCTAAGGCAGTATGTTTGCTTCCCCTTATTGTGATGGATAAGCTATAAAATTGCCTCCCCGCTATTGAATGCCAAGAAGTAGTTGTTCCGTTTAGTTTCGTCTCCCTCCTCTTTCTTTGTACTAGTAGCCTGTAGACTTGTTTCTTTTAACATGTGACTGCCGAATTTTCGGAAATCTTTTTAGAATTTTAGCTTCCAAGCTTGTGAACTTTCAATTATTCGACATGTTTTATTGGGCAGTATTTTAAGAAAGATCATTATTTATTTTTTTACACAATTTTTTTACTATTTACTTATCTATTTTATTTAGTTTTAGTAGACCAATTTATTTTGGGAAATTAAATTTTAATCCATTCTTTTACCGACTCAGTTTTCATCACATTATAAGTCCATACATATTTACAATGAGAGTACAATATTTATCAGAAATTTTTGGAAAATTTCGCATATGCATTTATATTTTAGCCTTGAATTTTTTCCACAAGTTGTTCGTTAACTGTCGAGCTCATCTTCGTCTTTTCAGCGTGGAATTGGCAATCATAATCTTCCTAATATTTTTCGGGATTTTATAGCAATTTCTAGAATTTTGGCGGTTTTCTACAAATATTTTGGTAATTTTAGCTATTATACAGTTGCTACTAATGTAGAATTTAAAGCCAAAAATGTATTCCTTCATTGATTTGAGAGATCGCATTTCGAATTTAAACGGAAGTTTAAATGAATTTGATACAATCTTACCACAGACTAGAAAGAATTATTTCTCTGTGTTGGATGGATTTTTCTCACTTTTCTGCATTTGATACATTAAATGCATAAGGCAGACACTCACAAATAGAATTTAAATAAATTTATTTAAATAAATTTCTATTTTCATTTAAAATTTGTCATTATTAGCACCTCCCGCAGTTTATGCAATCATAGGATTTTCCGAATTCTATTAGGTCAACATAATTTCAAGGCCTAACAGAAAAGTGATAATATGGAAAGACTATGTCTTGAGTACCAATAGCCAAGTATTTGTAATTAAATAAAATAATATTGAATACCAGCCGCTTTTTTATTTATTTTTAGTCATATAACAAAAGATAAACAAGAATACTATTACATCTAAAAATTATTTAGTAAATTATTTTGCTAATGTTTTATGAATGAGGAAACACGGTAAAAATGTTTTAATGATTGAATTCACCGTTAAAAATAAAACAAACCCCAAAATTCCTTTTTCCCATAACTTCGTAAAATGTTTTGATTAAATATGATTTGAATGAGTTTTCCAATTCTGTTTTGAGTGATATAAATATTATTAAATTAGGATATATATATTAGGATATAAATTATTATTATTAATAATTTTTGTATTATAACTTAGCAGAATATCGTTTATCGTTAAAAATTATATCTAAAAGAATTAAATTTTGAAAAAGAATAAAAAATATAATTAACTGTTCCATTTTCTCCTCTATTAATCTATTTATATAAAAAAGGAATCTGGCTAGGGAATTTACGACTTGTATGTGAACTAAAAATTGGTATCTTGACAAAACTTGTCAGAGCATGAAAAGCTTATATTCTGTGATATTAGTGTATTAATCATACTTCTGTATCCGTAAATGCAGTTTATAATTACCAGCATAAGTATCATAATGGATTTTATTAAAACGACGAAAACTGAATGCATGATCCTAGCATTATCAAAGTACGGCTCTTTATCCCATGAAGAATTGCTTGGTTCGTAACCAACACGAGTTTTATTTTTGAAATATTATTCCAAATAAAACAGGAAGCATTAAACTATATGCATTTTAAACAGTTTTACTTTTTTTTGGAAGGGAACCTGACCTCCGCAGGCTAACTAGCACTAAGGTCTCCAAAGACTATTTCTAGTCAATAGAGTTTTTTCATTCTAGAAATACTCATTATCCAAAGCTATCTTTTTTTCTAGCCATTGTAAACTACAGATATAGTGGGAATAAATTCTCATTTTACATAATTTTCGGATAATTACATTTTACGTTAAATAATTTTAGATTTTGATTAACGCAATCGATGAATATGGCAGAATAATAGTTTGTTGTAAACATTGTAAATTTCAACGTTTTTTAAGTAAAGTTTTCAAGTAAACCAAACCAAAGATTATTAAATTAGTCTTATAATGTTTACTGTTTGGTTTTCAGTGTTCTGAATTTGCATTTTAAAAAACATAATTTAAATAATCTTTCTTTACGCTAGTCGCTTTTAAAATGTTTACCTATGTAAACATTAGCATAATGTTTAATGTAGCAACTTTGTATGTACTTAACGAAAGACTTAGAGGAATTTATAAAGAAAACTAGTTCACTTGGAAAAAATCATGAAATCTTCCCTACAGCCAACGTATTGACCAGAAAGCAAAACCAGGTCAAAATACTTATGATCATCTCTTTTATCCACATAGCCATTGGTAAACTTTTCAAACTTATACTTGTTCTTATTGCAGTTATAAACAGAAATGTGAACACTCAGATACTGCCGCTTGTTAAAGTTAGTACAGTCTACGACTGATTCTATATCTACCGAAGTGTTTTCGAAAAAAACTTGAAAGATAATAAATTATGTTACCTGCTGAGTCATCGAAATATTATATATTTGTTTATTGAAACTGAAAATTTTATAAATTTCTATAAAACAGCAATTGCATTGAGTAATCTTCAGTGTGATGTAATTAGTGTCCTAAATATAAAAGTATGCAAAAATCAAATTGGAAATTACAGCAAATCAGTCCCTAGAAATATGCTATGCCTGTATTAATCTAGTAGCAATCAATTATTCATGAACATTATAGTATGCATGCCATATAATAATTTGTCAGCAGTACAGGAAACAATTTCGATATGCGTATCTTTTCTTTTAACATAGTTTTTCTCTCGTTACTTTTAAGATAAACATATAACTTGAAATAGTTTTTTCTTCCTCCAGCTTTCACTTATTTATTTCTTAAAATATCTCCACTAAAATCAGAGTGATATTATTAACGATTTTTCTTTATTATATAAATATAAAATTTATCCTTTATTATATAAATAATTGAAATGCTTAAATTTGACATTCTAATAAATATTTTATAGTAACTCTCTGAAAAATTTAACCCTTTTAAAATGCATGAAAATGAATTAAATTGGGAATTTTTCGAGTCTTAATGATAATAGAATTTTAGAATCATCAGTTATATATCCGTATTGATTATGAGAAATTATCTCATTCTTCTTTGAGCTGGATATTGCTCAATGGAGCTTCTTCCAGCTAGAATTTGAACTCGGGGTGTAAGTGATAGTAGATTGGACTATCAGTCGGAATGCCTGTGGTTCGTATTCCGCTGATAGAATAACGGATTTTTCATGTTTTTTTTTTTTTTCCCCCCCTCATAAAAACGCTATGTCTCTTCAATGGCACCCCAACGAAAACATGTCAGACGATAATTCGTTAACACATGAATTATTCCGAGAGTGCCTCGTGCTTCTTCTCTCTCGCCCTTTAAATGAAAACAAATAATAAGGAATTATGCCATTCTCACTATCTTGTTATAAATGGAAGTCCTTCCAGCTAGAATTTGGAAGACCTCCTTATTAGAAGCACAAATAGGGCACTGCTGAATTTTCGCATTTCTTGCTTCGAAAAAAATCCAATGTATCTGCATGGTATCTTTCTGTTTGTGCAGCATTCGAAATTATTCCGCTTTCGCAAATTTTTCAAATTTACTTTTTCTTGTATCGTTATTCCATTTGTCGTATATTGATAGGTGAAACAATGCAGATTTCTGTATATTTTGTTAAGTTTTCGTATCGGCAGGAAAATATACTGTCGCACTTAAAATTGGTTTTAATGCTGAAAATGATTTGATTGTTTGGTTCTATTTTTTTTTTTTTCCTTTTTCTTCCTTTAAAGATTTATTTTTCTTCCATATACTTATTTATTTATTACATTTTAATCTAATAGTCTCCCAAAAACTAAAGCGATAAAAAAGTTCTTTGATTCCAAGATAAAAGAAACTTTCATTATGCTTTGAATTTCTTCAGCAATCTTTCACCAGTAGGATTTATTTTCTTCTTTCACCTACTGATACTATGTGATTCTATATATGTAATATATCTGATTATGTATGTGTGTGAGTGTGTCTAAAGGTTTAATTGATATATATAATGTCATCAATGATATATATATATATACATTCATATTTTAGCATATGTATATATATAATGCATATATATATATATATATATTGCATTTTATAATTTCATTACACAAAAATTTTATACCTTAGGGAGTATATCTTTTATAGTAGATTTTGGGAATGCTTGAATTTTGAGTGAAAAGGAAAGTCAAGATTTCTACTACTTTACCCCGTTCAGTGCTTTCTCTTTCTCTTTTACTGAGGAATTAACATCATAGGAGGGCTGTTTTTGCCCAAAGGTTCGGCCTTTGTGGAAACGGTTAGGGGAAACCGGAAAAGCAAGA